ATTCACTTTAATTTTGAAAATTTTAGTGAAACACAAAGGAACTAACCTAGACGTTTGATAAGTCATACAGTATTCGTGTCCGTGTTGTATCAGATATACAATCACTTGGCTAGGCTTCGTGGTTGTATATCTGATACAACACGGCCACTCATACTGTATATATTACATACAAAATATAGGAATTCAGTGAGGCATGACAAGGGCACGGGAGTTTACTAGAGTAACAACTCAGTACGCAAATGAATAGATACGAAAATGCGAACATGTCAAATTATATGAAGGAAAAGATGCACTAACACTTCATGTGACCCTACCTCCCTTAAAACCAGCAGCTCATATTTCCCTTGTATAATAGTCCCCTTCACATTTCCCTGTGCCATCTTGAAAGGTAGCCGTGCCTTTACATCGAAGCGAAACGAACGGTGAGCTTGCAATGATAGAGACATGTGAATATGATTGTTCAAGGTGTTAAAAAAGGTCTCTATCATTGCAAACTCGCCGTTCGTCTCGCTTCGATGTAAAAGGCATGGCTACCTTTCAAGATGGCGCAGGGAACTGTGAAAGGGATTATTCTCTAGAGTGCTCACACTAAATCCGTGAAACAAATACTAATTTTTAGCACTAAATAGTGATAAATAAACAATAGAAAACAAAGGATTCTTTATGAAATAGTACTAATTAGTACTATTTAACGTTCACGGTTTTAGTGCGTGCACTCTAACATGAAGAATAGAATCTGTCGATGTATGTCATATCTTTTCCARATAAATACAACTTACCTATTTTGCCTTCTCCGTATAAGTGCCCAGCAACTTGGTGCTCAAATGGCTCCCACTCAGTCTCTGCCTTTATCTCCCCACTCTCTTCCATTTATATAATTCTTTATCCAACTTTTTTCTCACAAAAAAAAAAAATCAAAATCATTAAAAATTTGACCAAAGGCAAAAAAAAGCAGGCGTTCCTCGTAGTCTCGTCCCAGTTTTTATTACTCTTGCTCGGTCTCGTCCCCAGGCTTTGCTCGTTTGGTTGATGTGTACGACGTGACGTCAGCGAATCTTGGAAAATGTTCTCAGAAAATCGGAATTCCCCTCAAAATGGCTTCAAAATTCAACGATTTTAACCCCAGAACCAGCTCAAGACGGCTCCGAATGATAGATCCTGGACAGGAGTTCCTATTTGAATGATTAGCCGTTGAGTTTTTAGTTTTTTTTGTGTTTTTTATGGTGGAAGTTGACGGTCGGGGAAGAAGATGGCGACCCGCCGTAATGGCGTCTACATCATCCAAGGAGAAATTTCTTTAGTTGTTTCTGCCTTAAGGAGAAACGTTCGTTGGGGTTCACACAGCCACCAAGTAAGAGCAATATTTACAGAACACTTCTATCATTTTTTATGGTTATTCCTTGAGCTGGTCTTGGGAAAAACAGCTTTGAAGTTTAGCAACCGAGATGATACAAAATGTTATGTTTTAAAAAATATGAATGATCTTTATTTCGATCCACATAAAAATACTCTCTAGAAAATAAATATAGAAATAAAATCACGTATTTYAGATTAAACAGTTCTTACTGAGTAAAATCTCTTTCGTATAGGCAAAAATGTTACCAAAGTTGCGAAATTTTTTTGATCTACGTGTAAGCTTTTGCAACTGGTTTTTACATAACTGATAGCTTTACAAATTTCATACCGGCTTTTTCGTCTTAATGTTTATTTAGGATGAAGAGCAAGATCCGTTGCTTCATGGTTTTTCTCAACTGAAAGATCAACTCTGTACTGTTAATGGTATGTGTATTTTTTTGTTGTACTATTTGAAGGCATTTTGGTCATAATATTTCTCATAATGAGTGCTTATWTGCAGGGGTATTTGGTGCAGGTGGATTGGGGGAGAGGTTGTTATGGTTGCTGTCACCAATACTATTTTAACTATCATCAGCCACTATCACCGCCATCATACATCAATAACATTAACATCATCACCAATGATATTCTATTCATCCAACTGTCATTAAAATCACTACGACCATCATTATTATAGCTGCTACCACATCACTGTCATCAGCATCACTATCATYGGCCAATCACCAATGGTATCTCAGTCATCATGCACCATCACCACCACCATTACCATCATCACTACCCCATCTGTAACTATCATTACTAACACCATTGTTACTAGAGCAGTTTTTGTATCACTGTGAAAACCTCACTTCACGAACATGGTCATGAGATGGCAAGACATATACCAGACCAATTGTACAAGAATTTACAAACATTGTACAAGAATTTACTCTCTATCAAATCAAATATGATGGCCACGTGTTAGATAACTCTCTGGGTTAATTGTGTCACCCCCTTAAATAAAGTTTATTATATTGTATTGTATTGTAAATATTTGGAACATTGCATGAACACTATGYGGGCACGGTCAATCCAAGGTCACGACACTGTCAGACCAAACACAAGCAAGAGGATAAAGTTAGCCAATTAAAATTCTAGAAAGCATCATGGTCACGGCATGGAATGGCACACTTATACAGAATCACTGACTTTTTATCAGTCCTGCAAAAACTGCCCTATAAATCACTTTCACTATCATTTTGTCAATTGCCGCCACCAACATCATCATCATCACCACCAACACTATCATCATCATCATCATCATCACTATCATCATCATCATCATCATCACTATCATCATCATCATCAAGGGTTGTACGTGGTGTTAAGTAGTGTACTCTACTCTCAGCTTTTATTCCTGTATTCTAAATCACATTGGCTCTTCCTCTTAATTTGAGAGTTTTTTTCAAATTGTATGGATTTTCTCCCTCTGAGAAACCCAACATACTAAATTTGCAAATCTATCTGTGAKTTAGCCATGCCCTGACTTAGATCAGCCCAGAGGTTGTTTCAGGGTTGGATCTGTGAGTTATCCATGCCCTGACTTAGATAAGCCCAGAGATTGTTTCAGGGCTGGATCTGTGTATTAGAACAGCTTGACTTAGTTCAGCCAAGAGGGTGTTCTAGAGGTCGTTAAAAAAAACAATTTACAGTTTCCTTCAGTAGACTGTTTGGCTTAGAATAAAATCATTAGATTAGACTTATCTGTGTTACAATCTTAATTGATTTTGATACCTATCATGAAGCCAAAACAGAAACCTTGCATTAAGCTGGAAGTGACACCAATGCTGTAATCCATACAAAARTATTCATGCATAATTCATTGGGCATTTTACTCTCAATACATTCTACTGCCATGAACAACAACACATCATGGGTCTCTAAAGATCCGACCTGTTCATAATATGTGGATATGACCAGCACACTAGATATTTCCAAAGTTCAAAATCATATGGTTCAAGTACGACCAAGTAATGTGAACTAAACACATGTTTTGTTATTGATGGGTTAAATATCTTTCAAAAATGAACAGCCAATTTCATTGCCTGTCAATAGTACSTGTATTTCTTAAAAGAAAAACACATATTTGTTCGTTTTCTGACATAAAAAGTACAAAATTTAAACATTGGGGAAACTGTAGAATTTTTATTCAAATGATTAGTTCCACAGATACTCAAAATATTTTTGTGTTTTTTTTTTTTACCTAAATATATTATTTCAAAGGTAATTTATCGTGATGATGGTTTCATCCTCTGGGTTTCATCTATATATTATTGTTGATAAGGTGCAGAATTTCTTCATTTAGGAAAAGATATGGCTGTTCAAATTTGGTTTTAAATCTGGAATACTTGGAATATTAAGAAAAAAAGGATTCATTTAGTGCCACTGCTGTGGAAATCATTCCTTTAGGAATAGGATTTAAAAAAAGGGTCCATTGTGTTGGCTTTGAAAAGATATATTTACATAATTCACTTGATAATTCCCCGAGCAGGTGCAAGTATTCTCATTCTCATCTACTTTGATTTATTTATAGAATAATGTAGGATTTTTTTTCTTGTTTCTTTGACAGATCTTAGCGAGGTAGATGTCAACACATTTCTGGGGCCATTTCTCGATGTTATTCGTTCGGAGGACACCACTGGGCCAATAACTGGGGTGGCTCTTACGTCGGTTAATAAATTCCTCTCCTATGGATTGATAGGTGAGTCGCTGGAAATCAACAGAAGTCCTAATCAATTGTATACATCTTCATAGTCTATAAAATAATATGAATTCACACTTTGAAATTACTGACAACAAAAATCCAACATAATTTCGTATATRTTGTATATATTCAATATATACGTTTTACAATATATCTTAATTACATTTTTACCTAGCCAAATATAAATAAACTAAGATTTAAAATTTTTTCATTCATTTTTCATGAAATTCCTGAGATTTATTTCATAATTGTGATGTTCAGTTATTTATTAATACCTTCACAGGCAATAAATTACTTTAAATCAAGGTTTTTAAGTAGGCATTATTTGACTTTTTAAAAAAATTTAAGAATTTTTGATAAATATTTTGATAAATATTTYTTATAAGAATTTTTTATAAATATTTTTTATCATAAAATTAATATCTTATTTTTATTGGTTTTTTCACTAGCATAATATTTTTAAAAAATCATTTCCTTTTCTAAAAACAAGAATTTTGTTTTGTTATTGAA